TGCTGATGATGACGATGATGTTGATGATGATAATGCTGATGCTCATGATGCTGATGATGCTGTTGATGATGATGATGATGATGATGATGATGATGATGATGAGGATGATGATGATGATGATGATGATGGTGGTGGTGGTGGTGATGGTGATGATGATGATGATGATGCTGATGATGATGATGCTGATGCTGATGCTGATGCTGATGCTGATGCTGATGCTGATGATGATGCTGATGCTGATGCTGATGCTGATGCTGCTGCTGCTGCTGATGATGATGATGATGATGATGATGATGATGATGATGATGATGATGATGATGATGATGATTATGATGATGCTGATGCTGATGAGGAGGAGGAGGAGGAGACGAGGAGGAGGAGGAGGGAGCAGGAGGAGGAGAGGAGGAGGGAGGAAAAAGGAGGAGGAGGCGAAGGAGGAGGAGGAGGAGGAGGAAGAGGAGGAGGAGGAGCAGGAGGAGGAGGAGGAGGGGGAGGAGGCCAGGGGAGGAAGAGATACTGAGGCCGCTACCCTTCCCTCGTCGCCACGGCTGGGTTCGCTTCGAAATTACAGTCAGGAGGAGGACACCCGCCTCGTCTCGTCGTGAACGAAATCACGACGGGAGGTTTTGCCACTTTCGGCCTCCGAGGGCCCTCGCCCAGCTTTGGGACCGTCAACAACACGTTTCGGGAGGACGCGCCAGTCCCGGGGAAGGGGTCCAGATCTCCGGGGGAGGAAGACGAGGGGGAATGGATGGGGAGGTGGAGGAGGAGGAAGAGGAGGAGGGGTGAATGATTTTTCACTGCGTATCTGATTCACCGCTGGCTGGTCAGAGAGAAGGGTGGCACTCAACTCGCTAGATGCAATCGGTTCAGGACCCCAAACAGTGCACCTCAGGCAGTGGCTGAGGAAAATTCCTCCAGCCTTGCGCATGAGGTCGCTGGACCCCCCCCCACGACCCTGGACGCTGGGCTGCAGGCCTTCCTCTCCTCGCGGCCATCCTGGGCGCCCCTGAGGCTCGCCTGCTGGCCCCTTCCAGTTCGGGGTGCCCCTGGGCTCCCGGGCCTGCGACTCGCCTGGAGTCTGCTGCCTCTGCTCGCACGGGGTTGACGGACGCCCGGTCCTCCTCCACGTCGCCTCCCCCAGGGTCGGCTGTTAAATTTGGCTTTGGTTCTCGCGGCCTCCAGCGCAGGGCTGCGACCTTCTTTTGCTGGGTCCCCGCCTCTGCTGCTCCTGTGCCGCCCTGGCGGTGGCTTCTCCTGTCCCCCCGCCGTGGTGGCGCTTCCGCCGCTTCCACGCCCCTGCTCTTTCAGGAACCTCTCCGTTGAGCGCCTGCACGCCCTGTTCGTCGTCCTCTTCGGTGCGTCACGGCGCTCCTCGAGTTCGTCGGCTTCTTGCTCTTCGCCACTTTGGCGCTGCACGTCGACCTGTGGCCCTGCCTGGTCCTCCGCACTGCCTGAGCCGCAGCGTAGCCCTCTTCCTATGCGCTCCTGTACGTAATTTAGGCCGTTGCATTGTCGTTTCGTTCTGACGGCGCCCAGCGTCTTCCGGTGCGTTTGCGATCAAAAAGTATCCCCACCAGCCCATTCAGAAGCCCTGTCCTTCAGAGCTGGCGGGAAAAGGGACAAAGAGACACATATAGGGCAACAGATCGAGCAAGGGGGTGGCCTTGGAAGGTTTCTTCGGGCCATCCCTGGGTGCCGCGTGTGGGCGAGGCGAAGATGAGGAGCATGATGATAATGTTGATGATGATGATGCTGATGATGATGCTGATGATGATGATGAGGAGGGGGTAAGAGAAGGAGGAGGAGGAGGACGAGGGCGATGAGGACGAGGAGGACGAGGTGGACGAGGAGGACGAGGACGCGGATGAGGACCAGGAGGACGATGACTAGGATGAGGACGACGCGGACGAGGAATCATGGAACCGTCTAAAGGTATTATTGCGGCTGCTGCTGCTGCTGCTGTTGCTGCTGCTGCTGCTGCTGGTGCTCTCTGGGAGTTTTGGGGCCCTCTCGAAACCGTCTCAGTAACCTTGGAAGGCTTCTTGGGATCATCTTGGAGGCCATCGGTTACAGGATGGTGGAGTCCCCAACTCAGCCCCCCCCCCCCCCATAAGGAGCCGGCGAACCGCTTCGTGGGGTTCTCTTGGAGCGCTCCTGGGCGCCCTTGGAGCGGTCTTGGGGCCGTTTGGAGCATCTTGGGAGCCATCTTGAGCCAACTCGGTCTATCAGAGCCATCTTGGAGGTCATCTTGGGCTATCTGAAACCGCTTAAGGGGCCTCTTGGGGGCCTCTCGGGTGCATGATGGGGCGCTCTTGGGACCCTCTTGGAGCCCTCTTGGTGCCCTCTCGGGGCTCTCTTGGAAGCCCTTTAGCGCCTGTTGGGCCATAATCGAGGCTATCGATCAAAAGAGGGATTCACCCGATCGAAGCCACCCCTCGGGGGCCACGATCTTCGTGAGGGGTGTCGAAAATTGGCCCTCCCAGGGGCCGATCTTGGACATTCCAGCGGATCGCGGCCCTTCCCATCCAGGTCCAAGAGGGGGTATGGGGGAGGGGTCAAGACGCCCTCCCCGCCCGCAAGCCGTCTCGTTCACTCCCACCCGCTCTCCCGACACATACGTAGCACCCGAGCCTGGCCCGAACCACAGCATACGCAGCAGTCGTCTTTGGATGGGCAGCTACTGGGGGCGAATCCGCCGCCGCCGCCGCCGCCGCCGCGCCGCCGCCACCGCCATCGCCCGCCCACCGCCGCCGCCGCCGCGCCGCCGCCGCCGCCGCCGGCACCGCCGCCGCCGCCGCCGCCACCGCGCCGCCCGTCGCCGCCGCCACAGCGCCGCCCGCCGCCCCCGCTGCCGAATCGCCGCCGCGGCAGCCGCTGCAGCCGCAGCCGCAGCCGCTGCCGCCACCGCTGCCGCCGCCGCGCCCCCGCCGCGCCGCCGCAATTGCCGCCGCCACCGCCGCAGCCGCCGCAGCCGCTGCGGGGAGTGATCAAACTCCCTCCCCGCCCGCAAACCGTCTCGCTCACCCCACCCGCCCTCCCAACACATACGTAGCACCCGAGCCTGGCCCGAGCCGCAGCATATTCAGCAGTCGTCTTTGGATGGGCAGCTACTGGGGGGCGAATCCGCCGCCGCCGCCGCCTCCGCCGCCCGCCGCCGCCGCCGCCGCCGCTGTCCGCCGCCGCCGCCGCCGCCGCCGCCGCCGCCGCCCGCCACCGCGCCGCCCGCCGCCGCCGCCGCCGCCGCCGCCGCCGCCCCCGCTGCCGAATTGCCGCTGCCGCAGCCGCTGCCGCCGCAGCCGCTCCCGCCACCGCTGCCGCCGCCGCCGCCGCCGCCACCGCCGCAACCGCCGCGGCCCCCGCCGCAGCCGCCGCAGCCGCCGCCGCCGCCAAGGGTATTCAGTATGGTTTTTGTGACAGGGATGGTGGGGGGAGGCCGCATCGGGTTCGCTGCGCATGCCCCGAACTTGGAGGCAGAGTGTGTTCTGTATGGTTTTCTACAGGGGATGGTGGGGGGGCCCTTTTTGTCTGGGGTCGGCTCCCAGTCGCCTGGGGGAAGGGGTGTATACTAATAGGGAACAGTCGTAACCCATCCCCGAAAAGGGAAAGAAAGGTTTTTGGTAGAGGAAAGCAAGTCAGCGTTAGACCACCTGCGCCTAGAGGGTCGGTGGGATAACACTGGCGTGGACATTCGGCACGGGCGCCAAGGCAGACAGAACTCTAAGGGGCTGAGCAGGGGCAACGCATCGACCTTCAATCGTCCACTGATCGCCGACAGGGGGGCCCACTGCCCGCCCCGCTTTGGGGCGTGCGAACTCGCTACATGAGGCGCCTGACGCTGATTTTTTGGCGACGCGTCGCCGATTCCAGCTCGATGTCTCTCCCGTGAGCCGGCCCCGCCCTTGGCCCAGACCTCCAACGTCGTGTTTTTTTCACAGGGCGCACCCCTGGGGATCTCCACCCATTACCCTCAAGTCGGGCGCGTCCCTCCACAGGAGGAATATGCAAAAGTTGTCAAGCAATAGTGTGCGTTTTTTTGTTGTTTAAAAACGTATTCTATTTATGTTTATATATATATATGTATTTATACATTTTTTTTTTTTTTTTGTTTCTGTTTATTTCTTTCTGTTTTTTTTTTTGTATTATATATATAAGTATTCATATAACATATTAGTATTAGTATTGTTTAATTTTTAGTTTAATTATTATGATTATTATTAGTATCATCATTATTATTGTTGTGATTATATATATATATCTCTATATATATTATATGTGTGTTTCGGTGCCATGTTTGCATATGCTTTAAATAATTGTTTTCTCCTTCCAAAATCTGTGTGTAGGGGGAGACGCCCGACCTAACATTACCCGGGGCTCGTTTTTCATCCCCGGTATTTTTGTTTGTCGGCCCCGTGGTTCGGCTACGGCCCCCAGGGGCGCTGAATTTTCCCACGCCTCCCGTTGCGATTTTTTTCTCGGCGAGAGGAAGTGGGGGTCGACTGTTCTCGGGTGCAGGGAATGTGTCGAGATCAACAGAGGATCAGTATCGTTGAGCCGATCCCTGTCCCCATCCCCTTCCACATCTCGAGCCCCGCAGTCTCAGCACGTCAGTTGGGGATATGCCCCGCGAGACCCGAAGAGAGCAGCCTGGATACCCATCCAGGGAGGCAAATCGGCCAGCGGGGCCCAGCGCTGGTGGGGATTGGGATCGGTTAAGCGATGCTCAGAGGAGGCCATGAAATCTGGGGACATCTCTAGAGAGCACGAGAACTACACGAAGATAACCTTTTCGGAGGCCCGCGCGGATTTTTTGGGTCGGCGCTGGCTCCCCCGCCGTGGCGCGCCGAGCGCGCTGGGGGCGGCGCTGGATGTGCCGCAATGGGTGCCCAGGCGAACATTGAAGCAGTTTCTCAGTTTCTTTGTCTCTTCCCATTTTTACGATTATTTATTTTTATCTTTTTCTTCTTCTTGCGGTTCTTCTGGTGATAATCATTCTAGCGCAGGTCTTCATGGAGGCGCACCTGCTGAAGAGGGCGTGCGTGCCGGGACTCTACATGAACCTGCTGGGCCAGGCGCGTGGCTGGTTCATGGGCGCGAGCACGGCCGGCGCTGAGAGGAGGGGGTTGGGCAGGGGGAGGATCCGGGTCTGAAGGAGAAAATTGAAGCACATGATGATGATGCTGATGCTGATGATGATGATGATGCTGATGCTGCTGCTGATGCTGATGATGCTGATGATGATGAGGACGACGACGGTGATGAGGATGACGACGATGCTGATGATGCTGCTGATGATGATGATGCTGATGCTAATGCTGCTGATGATAATGATGCTTACTATGATGGTGGTGGTGGACGTTGTTGTGGTGGTGGTTATGGTGGTGATGGTGATGGTGGTGGTGGTGGTTGTGATGATGATGATGATGATGATGATGATGATGATGATGGTGATGATGATGTTGATGATGCTAATACTAATGCTGACGCTGATGCTGATGAGGGTGGTGGTGGTGATCGTAATGATGGTCGTGGTGGTGGTGATGGTGATGGTGATGGCGATGGTGGTGGTGGTGATGGTGATGATGTTGATGGTGATGATGCTGATGCTGATGCTGATGATGATACTGATGAGTACGATGCTGTTGTTGCTGTTGCTGTTGCTGTTGCTGTTGTTGGTGTTGTTGTGCTTGTTGTTGTTGTTGTTGTTGTTGTTGTTGTTGGTTTGGGGGTTATTGTGGTGATAATGATGGTGGTGTTGGTTGTGATGATGATGTTGATGATGATGATGGTGATACTACCACCAATGATGATGCTGATTCTGATGAGGGTGGTGGTGGTGGTGATTGTGATGATGGTGGTGGTGGTGGTGGTGGTGATGGTGGTGGTGATTGTGATGATGGTGGTGGTGATGATGGTGGTGGTGATGGTGATGGTGATGGTGGTGTATGTGGTGGTGGTGAGGGGGAGGATAAGGAGGAGGAGGAGGAGGGACTCGAGGAGGAGGAGGAGGAGGATAAGGAGGAGGAGGAGGAGGAGGAGGAGGAGGAGGAGGGACAGGAAGAGAAGGATGAGCAACCCTGCAGATTTTCACGGGCAGGGAGGCCCGATCTCTGGCGATGCGTATTCTAACATCCCCCCCCCCCCCACAGAACTCCGACGGCGCGACTTCTCCACAACGTCGACCCCCTGGGCCTTGTTTTGACGGCCCAAGGCCCGGCGAGGGTCCCTGGAGGCCTAAGTCTGCCGGCAACCTCCCGTCGTGATTTCTCCACAGCGAGAGGAGGTGGGGCGCCCTTCGTGGCCTTCCCTCGGTCTCATCCAGACACATTCACGGCCAGACCGATGTAGAGAGACCGGGGTCGGTTCGGGGGCGGCACCCTGCTGCTCTTCGTGCCTGTTCGATGCTCTTGTGCATCCTTTAGGGGGCCACAGGCGAACCCTACCCCTACCCCCCACGATTTCTGAGGGGGAGGGTGGGGTTCACTTCGCTCGGGAGCTGAAGTGGACTCCACCCTCCCCCTCAGAAATCGTGGGGGGCAGGGGTAGGGTTCGCATGTGGCCCCCTATCCTTGGGGAGTGTGCCCTCGAATGCTCTCCAGCCTGGCCGGCGGAGGGTCTCCTGCCCTCGGGGGACATTTTCCTGCAGACAGGTCCGGCCCTCTGCTCCGCGTGTGGTGTCGGCCGTTGCCCTCTCCCCCCCCCGGGGGAGGCGCGCGCTCCGGCATCGTTGCGGTGCCTGCTCGGCTGCGGGCGTTCTCGGGCCACGCCGCGGGGGAAGCGATACGCCAGAAGATTCGTGGGTGGACAGACCTCCCACCCTGACACGTGGATTCAGGAGTTGGCCGTTGTCGGTTCGCGAGAGGGCGTCGCGGCCGTCGTTTTTTGCGGGTCCAGATCCGTCGGTTTCGGTCCCAGGCCGTTTCCACCAAGGGGGGGTTTTGCTAGAGGGAGGTTTGTCCACCGCCGAAAGATGTTGGTGCCCGTTCCGTGTTTTCGGGGCTTCGGGGCAGGGTTTTGGGTCTCTGGCGTCTGTTCGGGCCGAGCTGGGCACTCCGGAGACGCTTCGGCGAGGGGCGGCTGTTGGAAGGCATCTCCCGAGGGTGGAGCACTTCAATCCGAGAACCCACGACTCGGGGCGATCGAAGTGGGTACGGAGGTATTGGGTACGATGTTCAACAGCAGCCCCTGTTCATTTTGAACAGCACTCGCTGTCCGTGCCGCTGCGGACGTGGACCATCGGAGGCAGAATGCCGCCTGCCCCACGGCGGCCGCTGCAAGTACCCAATGTTCTTCGCCACCCACCAAACCACCCCAACCCAACCCGAAGGTCTCGATTTGCCCTCCATTTCCAGTTGGGGGGGGTCGGGGAACATCGAGAAAACACATATGGAACCCGTACCCCCCCCCCAACCCGAAATTCGGGTCTTCGGGTTGGGTTGGGGTGGTCTGGTAGGTACCCATGTTCTCCGTACCCCTTTCGGGCGTCCGCAACGGCGACTTCCGAGCTCCTCGGGGCGGGCGCCGCGGCAGGGCGTGGAGATCCGGGATTCCAGCGTCTCCACACACCTGTGCTGGGCGGAGAGCCGCGTGTGCGAGGCGCCGCGCGCCGCTGGGCCTCGCCGCTCCCTGCGGGCCGGTTAAGTTTTTTTTTTTTTTTTTTTTTTTTTTTTTTTTTTTTTTTTTTTTTTTTTTTTTTTTTTTTTTTTTTTTTTTTTTTTTTTTTTTTGTTTTTTTTTTTTTTGTATTTATATGTTTAAAAATTATTTATTTATTTATATATATAATCAGATGTATACATCAAATTGCTATTATTGACGCTATTACCAGTATTGTTATTATTATTATGATGCTGGTGATGATGATGATGCTGCTGCTGATGATGATGATGATGCTGATTATGATGATGATGATGATGATGATGATGATGATGATGATGATGATGATGATTCTTATTATCATTATTATTATTCGTATCATTATCAGTATCTTCATTCTTATCATTATTCGTATTATTTTTTATTTATAGATGTGTACGGCTTTGTTTTTTTGTATTTGTTTGTTGCATTCTTTTGTTTGATTGTCTGTTGGATTCTATTTCCCCCCTTCGCCCCTCCCCCGCCCTGCCCCTTCGAGGCTCGGGGCTCGAGGTGGTCTCTTGGACGTTTTTCCAGCATCGGGATGCCTTCCAGCGGCCGCGCCTCGCCGAGCGCATTCCCGGGGTTGCCAGGAGCGTCCCGAGCAGCCGCTGGAGAGATGCGTCGTGGCCCGGAAACCTGACCTTCGTCGCGACAGGCTCACGGCGGACGCTTTTTGTCGATCCTCGGCCTCCGGGGGCCTTCACCAGGCCGCAAGACGGGCACGGGGTGCAGGACCCGCTCCAGGGAACGAGTCCAGCCCTCGGGGGGTCCACGTTGTGCAGCAGTCACGACGTTGGAGATTTCGGTCCCTCCCTCCTCCCTCCTCCTCCAACTCTCGCCCTCTCCTCCTCCCTCCTTCCTCATCAACCAGGGCTGGGCCTGGCGTTGGCGTGGGCTTGCGAGTTTTCTGTCATTTGCGCCGCTCGTTCGTGCTCAGCCTCGCCGACACAGGAGTACACGCCACTCGATGGAAGTAGGTATTTTTGGGCTCCCAGATCCCAATCTACTTCAAGCGCCTTCCTACTTCAAGAATCAGAATCGATCGGCTTCTGCTGTGTTTTGTTGCTCCCTGGGAGTGCCTGAACCCAATCTGCTTGATCCGCCTTCCTGCTTCATCTTTTCGTCTACTTTCTCCGACCGGCGTGTACGCTGCAGCGCCAGGCCTGGTGTCGCGTTGACCTGGTCCGCCTCCCTCCCCTCCCGTGCTCGTTTTGTCTGGTGCCCGGGAGGCATCGGAGGTTGGGGGGGTGGAACGGAAGTGACCCCAACGGGGAGTCGGTTTCGGTTTCGGTTCGCGTCGTGCGTGTGGGCGGAGCGAAGCTGCGCGAGTTTCATCCTCAGTAGAAACCAGCAGCCCCTCTAGCGCCGGGCGTGGCCCCCGGTGTCCCGGCGGTTGTCCCAGCGGTTGTCCCGATGGTTGTGGTTGTCCCGATGATTGTCCCGATGGTTGTCCCGATAGTTTCTCGATGGTTGTCCCGATGGTGGTCCCGATGTGGTCCCGATGGTTGCCCCGATGGTTTTCCCGCGATGGTTGTCCCGATAGTTGTCCCGATGTTCGTCCCGATGGTAATCTCGATAGTTGTCCCGATGGTTGTCCTGATGGTTGTCCTCATGGTTGTTTTGATAGTTGTCCCGATGGTTGTCCCGGTGGTTGTCCCGATGGTTGTCCCGATGGTTGTCCCGATGGTTGTCCAGATGGTTGTCCCGATGGTTGTCCCGATGGTTGCCCCGATGGTTGTCCCGATGATTGTCCCGATGGTTGTCCCGATGGTTGTCCAGATGGTTGTCCCGATGGTTTTCCCGATGGTTGTCCCGATGGTTGTCCCGATGGTTGTCCTGATGGTTGTCTTTTTATAGAGAGATGGATATATACATACATATATACACATACATACATATATATATACATATACATGCATATATATAGAGAGAGATACGTAGGTCTACATATGTATATATATATATATGTATACATAGTCCTCTTTTTATATCTTTACAAGCCCGGGCGGGGAGAAAACCCGTCCCCCCCCCAAAACCGGACTCCCCGGATCTGGGGTTTTGGGACATTCCGGACGGGCCTCGAAGCGGCCCCCGGGCCTCGCAGGGCGTTTTGCCAAGCCTTCCCAGCACACTTAGGGCGATCAGGGGGGTCATCGGAGACGTCCCAGAGACCCCCAAGACAGTACAAGAGCGCTCCAATTGTGACCGACCTGACCTCAAGATGGCCCAAGAGGCCTCCAGGACGGCCCCACAGAGGCCTCGAAGAGCAATCCCAGAAAGCCACCCGAGGCAAAAATCATTGATTTTCTGTTTTTTTTTGTGAATTTTGGGGTTCTCCTCTTTTCGGCTTCCGACGCTCCAAGACGGCGGTCTTCTGGGCGTCCGAAGCCGCCTGGGAGGCTCCAAAATCGCCCCACAACCATCCGAAAGGGCTTCCTTCCAGGCAGTCCAAGAGAGCCCAAGAACGGCACAACACGGGTCCAGGATGGCCCTCAGAGAGCCCCGTGGCGCCCAAGTTGGCCCAAAGACACCCTCCGAAGCATTCCAAATCGTGACCTGGTCGTTCAGGGAGACCGCGGTTGGAGGCAGGGTGGCCCGAGGAAGCCCCCGGAGGCCCCCAGAATACGCCCAGGAGGCCTCCAGAAGGCCTTAAGAAAGCCTGAAACAATTTGTGCGAGGCTCCCAGAGGTTCTCCAAGGAGGACCCCCCGCAAAAAAGAGCTGAGGAGGATGGGGAGATTGCGCAGGGTATGGCGAAAACAAGGAAAAAGAAGCATGGAGGAAGGATAACGAATAACATCTTATAGCGGCGATGCCAGAAAAGGCAACAAGGAGTTATCGCTAACTTGTCGGCTTGACCATCCTGCTATTCCGCCTGCGTGCCAAATTTGAAGGACCAAGGTGCACGGCGCGAAGCGCCACTGCAGTCTTTTATGTATGTGTATATATATATATATGTATAGATGGTTGTCTCGATGCTGTCCTGGGGTGGGCGCGAAACGCAAGCGAATCAAAGCGTTTCGAGCGCTCGCGCCCGAAACGCATGCGAATCGTAAATACTGCAAAGAGTTTCGCACGCTGCGCGCGCGAAGCGCGTGCGAATCGCAAGTATTGCAGAGCGTTTCGCGCGCTTCTCGCGAAGCGCACGCGAATCATAGATATGGCAAAGCGTTTGGCGCGCTTCGCGCGCGGAACGCACGATGATTGGTTTGGTAGAGAGATAGCTAGATATATACATCGTTAGACAGATATATAGACATGTCGATCTATATACAGTTGTCCAAAGCAGGTAATTTTGACAGATATGCCGATCGATGGATGGGCAGATATGCGCGACAATAGCACAATTGAAGAAACCACCAAAGAACCCAGAGCCATCACAAATCGCCCGCCTCCCCCTTCCCCCTCGCCAACCTCCTTATCACCCGTGAGATGGTCCTGCCGGTATCTCGCCGCGTAAGTTGCACAGCGTCGATTGCACCGCGTCGAATGCACATTTTTGATTTTCTTATTCAATGTAGAGTTAGGATTCGACGCCTCCTCTCCCCCGGGATTATCGGCACCGCCTGGGGCTGTGCACATGATTCATCCCCCTCGTTCGTTCTATATCTATGAACCCATTTTCCGAGCCGGGCCGGCATCGAATTCCCCCTCGCAACAGGAATGTTCAAGATGACCCTGCTCTCGCGCTTTTGCGAATTCTTCAGACAACCATCGTTTTCCCAACTTCTTCATACAGTGCTTCAAACGTGCCTCTCGCGCGCGCATGTCGCAATCATTCGAACACCCTTGCGCGCGTGGTATGTGCGGGAGGGGGGCGGCGATCCGTGTCAAATGCCACAATACGTGCCACTCGCGCGCGCGTCGGCCGCGCGCGCATGTCGAAATCCTCCCGACACCGTCATCACCGACGCGAGGACACCATCATCGTCATCGGCGTGATCAGCATCGGCGGCGTCATCGGCCTTGCCGTCGTCATTGTCGGACCCCTGCATCATTAGTATCATCATCGTGTCCGCCGCTGCCGACATCGTTGTGATACCGCGCTGGCCCGAGTCACCGACTTGCACCGAAGTGCCCGCGCGTCAGCGCGGCCTGCTGGGCGCTCTGGGGAGCCCCCGGCGGCCCGCGCCACCGCGGCCTCGCCGGTCGCGTCAATCCAATTGGCCGTTCTGCGCGCCAGCCTGCGCGTGCTAGCGCGGCCGCAGCGATGCACCAGTCAGCGCCAAGCGGCCATCGCAATCTCCGCCGCATGGGATTTGCACACCAAGTTGCGGGTGGGTTGGTAGGATGTTTGCGCAGGCATGGGAGGCGGTCGTGCACTCAATGGCACCACGTAGATTCCACTACGCATGCTGCTCCACATAGGTTGCCCCACATAGGTTGCACACCGTTGACTGCTAGAAACATTGTTTCGGGTCCACGCTTGCTAACCCACATCTATGTAGCATATTGTGCGAAGGTGTACAGTCATTTTCCTCTTCTTTTTCTTCCACCTCCCTTGCCCCTCGTCTCTCCTCCTCCCCCTTTCTTTTTTCTCCTCTTGTCACCCTCGTTTTCATCCCCGTCGCCGCTGACGCCGCGTCGCTGTCTTTGTCGCCGTCGCGGTCCCCGTGGTCGCCATCGACGCGGCCGTCGCCGTGATCGTCGCCGTCGTCGCCGACCCGTGGTCTTCAAAATCTCGTCCTCGTCGTCCTCGTCGTCGTCTTCTTTCGTCGTCGCCGCCGCCGCCGCCGTCGCCATCGCCCGCCATCGGGTCGTCGTCGCCAGCGGCCGCGGATGCCTGCGATGGCGGCGACGACGCGGCGCGCGCCCCCCGACCCACAGGGCTTCCTAAACGGGCAGTGTTCTGATAAGCCAGGACCCTGGCGCGCCCAAGAAAAGAGACCGCAGCCGTGGGCCTAGGGCACTCTCCGCTGTCTTTGCTCTCCCGGGTGTTTCAGCTTGCGTCAGGGCGGCCCGTTCGCTCTCTGGGGCCCCTGCATCGCTGCCGCGCGGCAGCGCAGTGCCCCGCCTCGCCGCCGACGGACCAAGGAGTGCTTGCGCCAGGGGTCGAGGGAGGGCAGGGGGGGGGGGGGGGAAGGCTCCCGGAGGGGCCTGCGCCGGCCCCGTTCGCCCAGCGCTCCTCGAGCCGGGGGCCCGGGAGCCCGCCCCGCCCCCCGGGAGAGCGCTCGGAGTCGCCATCCGCGCCCTGCCTGTCGCCCAGCCTGTCGCGCGGGGCATCGCCGCTGCCCAGGCCGAGGCGTCGCCCCCTGTCCGGGGGGGGGGAAGCCTCGACCTGGCGGCGATCCGACTCGGCCCTGCCGGCCCCCGTCGAGTTCGATCTGGCGGCTGGCCTCTGCCGGCTCCTGCCGGCTCCTGCCGAGTCGGCCTTCGGGCCGATCCGGCTCGGCGTTCCGACTCGATGCTGGGGCCGCCCTGCCCTGAGCCGGCCCCCCTCCCCGTGACGCATCTCGGCCGCGCGCAGAGGGGGAGGAGGAGGAGGAGGAGGAGGAGGAGGAGGAGGAGGAGGAGGAGGAGGAGGAGGAGGAGGAGGAGGAGGAGGAGGAGGAGGAGGAGGAGGAGGAGGAGGAGGAGGAGGAGGAGGACGAGGCGAGGGTTGGCAGGGGGGTGGGGGGAGGGGGGAGGGCTTCCCAGAAGCACCCCTGCTTCTCAGAAGGCGCGGGCCTCATCTATGGGTGTCAGGCCGACGCCTTCTGAGAAGCAGCCTCCTCCTAAGAAGCCCTCCCCCCCCCTCCACCCCCTTGTGCGCGCCGCCAAGCTCCCCCTCTTCACAGCAGCGTCCTCTGCTTTGGCGGGGGCCCTCGGCGGCCCGCGGGGGCAGGTGCTGCAGAGCGAGTCGATGTACGAGGCCCTGCGCGGCCCGCTCGTGCGCGCACTCGGGGGAGGGGGGGCCCTCTTCCTCGAAGGTCGCCGCGGAGGAGATGGGGGCCCTGTGCTTCCTTGCTGGTCCCCCCCCCCTGCTGCTCCCCCCTGCTCCTCCCTCGCGCCCCCCCCCCCCCCCTCCACTCTGCTCCTCCCTCTGCTCCTCCTCCCCGTCCTCCTCTGCCTCCTCTTCTCCCCAAAGTTCCCTGTCCTCCCCCCTCGATGTTCAACTCTACGGGCAGTGAACCTCGTCCTCTTCCCTCTTCCTCCTCCTCCTCCTCCTCCTCCTCTACCTGTTTTTCTCCTCTTCCTCCTCTCCCTCCCTCCTTCCCTCCCTCCCTCTCTCCCTCGCTCTCTCTCCCCCTCCCCATCCCTCCTCCGGCTTGGAGTAGAGGGACACAGAGGAAAAGCGGTCCTGGAGGCCCTTTCGCCGTGGTCGGCCTCCTTGGATCCCATCCCGGGCCCCCCGGGCCTCTACAAAACGACGCGGGATGAGAAGCTGGTCCCGGGGGGGTGGGGCGCGGGGTCCAGGCTCCGTCTCCTCCACCACCTGTTTCCTCCATGCCGAGGGAGGGAAGAAGGGAGGGAGGGAGGGAGGGAGGGAGGGAGGGAGGGAGGAGGAGGCGGAGGAGGAGGAGGAGGAGGAGGAGGTTGACCAGGAGCATGAGCAGGATCAGAAGCAGGAGCAGAAAGAGGAGGAGGAGGAGGAGGAGGAGGAGGAGGAGGAGGAGGAGGAGGAGGAGGAGGAGGCGGAGGAGCAGCAGGACGAGAGGATGAGGAGGATGAGGAGGAGGAGTGAGGAGGAGGAGGAGGACCAGGGACCAGGACCAGTGACCAGGACTAGGACAGGAGCAGGAGGAGCAGGAGCAGGAGGAGGGGGAGGACGAGGAGGAGAAGAGGAGGAGAGCAGGAGGAGGAGAGGAGGAGCATGAGCAGGAGCAGGAGCAGCAGGAGCAGGAGGAGGAGGAGGATGGAGGATGAGGAGGAGGAGGAGGAGGAGGAGGGTGGTGGGTGGGGTGAGGTTGGTGTTGGGAGGGTGGGGTGGTGTGGTGGTTGGTAATGAGATGAGGGATGAGGATGAGGATGAGGATGAGGATGAGTGATGAGGGATGAGGATGATGATGATGATGATGTGATGATGATGAGATGATGATGAGGATGATGATGACGATATGATGATGATGATGATGATGACGATGACGATGACGATGATGATGATGATGATGATGATGATGACGATGATGATGCTGATGATGATGATGATGATGCTGATGACTAAGAGGATCTGATGATGATGCTGATGATGCTGATGGGGATGATAATGCTGATGATGTTGATGATGCTGGTGATGCTGATTATGCTGATGATGATGGTGATGATGTTGATGAGTGATGAGGTACGATGATGATGGTGATGTGATGCTGCTGATATGATGAGATGACTGATGATGAGCTGCTGCTGCTGCTGACTGATGATGATGATGATGATGATGATGATGATGATGATGATGATGATGCTGATGCTGATGCTGATGCTGATGCTTGATGCTGATGCTGATGATGATGCTGATGCCGTAATGATGATGATGATGACGATGATGTGATGGTGATGGTGCTGTTGATGAGGATGATGATGATGATGATGATTGATGATGATGATGATGATGATGATGATGATGATGATGCTGATGATGATGATGATGATGATGATGATGATGATGATGATGGTGGTGGTGGTGGTGGTGGTGGTGGTGATGATGATGATGATGCGGCGAGGAGGAGGAAGAAGAGGAGGAGGAGGAGGAGGAGGAGGTTCCGCAGCCATTTTGGCTCAAGGCCAAGCCCCGAGCCCGAGGCCTTGGCAGGTTAGGTTTCTGCCTAGGGGCCCGGGCGCCCAGCCGCGACCGCCGGGGAGATCGCCGCAGGGGGCAGGAGACTGCTGCCCAGAGAGTTCAGAGCAGCCCCATCACGGACGGCCACATGCAAGACCTTGTAGACAGCAACCAATCGATGGCGCCAGTGGAGGCGCAGAGCCATCCCACGTACATGGTCCCTCCCACGTCGCCCTGCCGTGTGGAAGGGTACCGCCTAGATGCGCGCAGGGATCTCAAGGTGCCAGCGAGTCTCGTGTTGGCGGCCAGGATTCGGCGCAACGACGACGGAGAGGCCGCCTTGCAGGAGATTCCAGTCCGAAAGCAGAGCTTCGCCGCTCTGGGGCCCATAGACACCAGGATCAGGTGCACCATGGAAGAAGTGAATGAGCTCGAAGCGAGCACCCACAAGCGCCAGGAGCAGATCGAGCGGCTGACGGGTAAGACCGAACGCGAGTCTGAATGTGATGAGTGAGCCAGAATGGAGAAGAAGAGTTGGTGAGTAGGTTCGTTCAAACTTCGTTTTGAAACGAAAGCGAAACGTGAGCCGAAAACACTGTTCAGGTTGAGCCCTGGGTTTGAGTGTGAACGAGTGCGCCTGAGTACGGCAAAAAAGACGCAGGAGGAGGAGGAGGAGGAGATCAGTGATAGAGTGAGAAGTACACAAATCCGAAGAGAAGCTTCGGATATCCACAATCTGGGCGCCAACCCTGGAGTGTCCCCATCCCTGGCGGCCCCCCATTGGGGTGCCCAGATGCAGCGCCTGCTGTATCGCGGTGAGCAGTGGACCTCCAACAGGGAAATTCTTGGAGGGCAGAAGCAGGCAAACCGCTTGAGACATCCCCACACTCTGGGCGCGAACGGGCGGGTGTCACACCCTCTGGTGGTTTCCCCTTTCGGTGCCCAAGTGCCGCGCCTGCTCTATCGCGGTGAGCAGTGGACCACCAGAAGAGAAAAGTCTGGGGGGGGGCACGAGCAGGCAAACTGCATGAGTCATCACGCGAGCGGGCGAGTGCCATACCCCCGGCATCTCCCCCTTGGGGCGCCCAGGTGCCACGCCTGCTGCATCGCGGTGAGCAGTGAACCACCCAAAAAGAAGAGTTTGGATTGGGGCAGAAGCAGGCAAACCGCTTGAGGCGTCCCCAGAGTGTCACACCCCCTGGCGGCTCCCCCCTTGGTGGTGCCCAGATGCAACGCCTGCTACGTCGCGTTGAGCAGTGAGCCACTGAAGAAGAGGCCTTTGGGGCACAAGCAGTCAGCGCGCTTGAGACATCCAATGCATTTAGGCACGAAGGGGCGAGTGTCATACCCCTTGGTGGTTCCCCCCTAGGGTGCCCAAGTGCAACGCCTTCTGTATCGCCGTGAGCAGTGGGCCACCAAAGGAGAAACGCTTGGGGGGCACAACGAGGCAAGCCGCCTCGTGCATCCCTACAAGCTGGGCTCGAACGGGCGTGTGTCATCCCCCTGGTGGTTTCCCATCGGGGTGCCCAAGTACTACGCCTGCTACGTCGCGGTGAACAGTGGGATCACCACACGGAAGAAGCTGGGGGGGGCAGAAGCAGGCAAGCCGCTTGAGACGTCTCCGCGCTCTCGGCGCGAACGGGCGAGTGTCGTACCCCCTGGCGGCTCCCGCTCGTGGTGCCCAAGTGCCGCGCCTGCTTCATCGCGGGGAGCAGTGGACCACCGGAAGAGTCCGAGTGGGTCTGAGTCAGGAAGGTGTGTCGGAGTAAGACGGTCTGAACGTGTATGATTGAATTTGCGCGTGAGGTTAATTCCTTGAAGGTGTGTCCGAGCGATTCCGAGTGAGTGTGAGTCTGAATGAGGAAGTGATGCGGCTGAGTCTGCTTGAGGGACACTGAGTTTGTGATGGCTGTGTGAGCCTGGGCACGCCTGTACCACTCGTCTTGGTTTACGCTCATCTGATCTCCTTGTATCTGATGTGTATATATATATATATACATATATATACATTTATATATATATATATTTCTATATATATGATACATATATGTATATGTATACATCTACTTCTGTGTACAGTCGTCGTTGCAGTGGTTCCAAGATCGCGTGGTGCGATTTCTGCGAGGCGGGCTGTGTGGTGCCACCTCTGCAGGGCGCCGGCGAACGCCGGGCAGCGCACCCTAGGCGCCCGCGAGGCGCCCCCCCCCCGGGCGGGCACGGGGCGGGCACCCCGCGGGGCAGCCCGGCCGGCGCCCGTCCGCGAGCCCACGGGGCGCCCGCGCACGGGCGCCGGTCAGGAGGGGAAAGAACACACAAACACAATGGATCGTCGATTCCCAGGAGAACATGGGAAAATATGGGAGTGGGGGGGAAGACAAACACACAGATAGTATGGGAACATGTGGGGGGACATCTTTATTTGTGTGTGTACTGATTTGCGTGTCCTGGGGCCCCGTGGGGCGCGCGAAACTCGCGGAACTCCGAGAGAAAGTCTGTGTGTTGTGCCGCTTGTGTTCTCAGCTCGTCGCCGCCGAGCTTCGTGAGCTCTCGATCGCAGGCAGGCGGCGAGGTCCATCGTCGTCGGCGTCCGAGCGGGAGGAGGCGCCCGCGGGCAGGCGGGCAGGCCGCGGGGGGAAGGCACGCGGTCGGTGGTGGCGGCGGGCGTGCTCGCGCTGGGGGCGTGGTCTGCGATCGGCGCCGTGTGGTCGCCACCCACCAGAAACCGCCCCCAAAACCCAGCCCGAAGGCTTCCTGGAAGCCTTCGGGTTGGAAGTTCCATCTGCACTTCCATTTGCATTTCCATTTGCCCTCCATGTGCCCTCCAGTTGCCCTCCAGTTGCCCTCCATTTGCCCTCCATCTGCCCTCCATTTGCCCTCCTTCATGGAGGGGAAACGGAAGTTCCATTTGCCCTCCATGTCATTTCCAGTGGGGGGGAACATTGAAAAAACACGTGGAGCCCGTACCCCCCCTAACCCGAAATTCGGGTCCAATTCGTGTCTTCGGGTTGGGTTGGGGTGGTCTGGTACGTAGTCAGTTAGAGCTTAGGGGCCGCCGCGTTGCGCCAGAGGCTTTGTAAGCCCCCGTCGGGGCGCGGCAGAGATCTCTGTGGAGGTCCTCGCCCGCCCCTCCCAGGCGCGGGTTGAACATCACCCCCTTTGCAAGCCATACCCTTGGGTGTCGCCGATCAGGCAATCCACTCGACAACTCCATGATTCATCGCTCCTGATTGCAAGCGCTGTTGGGGGGATGCGGAGGAATAGGAGGCGGAGTGTGGGGGAGGGCGAGAAGCAGGGGCGGAGGCTGGTGTTGGAAGAGGAAGGGGAACAGGGTGGCTGAATGAGGAGGGCTTAGGGTTGAGGGCAGATGAAACCAAGTGGATGGCGCCGTGAGCTGCATCGACTTTTCCCACTGTTGTTACCTCTCTGCCTCCTCCTTCTCCATCCCCCCCTCCTCTTCGATTTTCCTCACTCCTCATCCTCCGTAGTCGTCGTCGCCTCCTCCCCCTTGCCTGTGTAATCGTGCCACCATGCGATCGATCCCGTCCTCCCGCCGCGCGCGTGCGCGCAGGGAACGCTGGCTTCCAAACCTCCTCGTTCTTCCCCCCATCCACGTGTTGCTGCTCCCCCTCCTCCCCCTCTTCCTTCCCCTCCTCTCTCCTCCCTCCTCCCTCCCCCCCCTCCCTCCTCCTCTTCCTCCGCTCCCTCCCCTCCCTCCCCCTCCCCCCCTCCCTCCCCCCTCCTCCCTCTCCTCCCTCCTCCCTCCTCCCTCCCCACTCCTCCCCTCCCTCCCCCCCTCCCTCCTCTCTCTCCCCTCCTCTCTCCCCTCCTTCTCTCCTCCCTCCCTCCCTCCCCCCCCCCCCCTCCTCCCCCTCCGCCGCTCCTCCCCTCCTCCCTCCGCCCTTTTCCCCGGCGGATGCTGGACGGATCCTTCCTTTCCTCTGCCCTCCTCCCTGGCGGCCCAGGCGTTCCTTCCCGGAATGAAGTCGGGCTTGTCCCTCTAGAGGGAGAATATTCAAAAATGGTCTAACATAGTCCGGGGACATTTTTGTTGACCGTGCTTGAGCATTTTTGGTGCATTTTCTGGGTATTTTTGACTTGTCGTTCAAGATCGGCCTGGAGGGGGACAGGCCCGACTCAATCCCAGACTTCCCGTGGCCCTCTGCCCCCTGCCCGGGGCCGCCCCGCGCCGCTGCTGCCGGCGGCCGATCCCGCTTCTCCTCGCGCGCGCGCCAGTCGGACTACTGCAGCACGTTCCGTGTCTTCGTTATCGACAAGCCGCTCCTGGGCAAGTACAAGACCTGCTGCGGGGAGGAAGAGGAGGACCAGCGAAGGAAGAGCTGCCGATACTCCAGGCCTCCCAACTCGGGTCCGACGAGGTGGGGTCGAAGGATCGCGCCGCATCGCCGATGCGTCGGCGATGCGGCTCGATGTGGAGTGCGATTTTCTTCACCTCGACGGCGCCAACGCACGCTTGTGTCGCCGATAGCTTGCCGATGCATTGGTGATGCATCGGTGATGCAGTGCGATCCTCCGACCCCATCTGCTCGGAGCCACTTTGAGAGGCCTCTACGTACTAGAGAAGGATGAGGGGGGGAGGAGCAGGAGGAGGAGGAGGATCAAAGGAGCTGCCCTGCAGCGATTCTGCCTTTTCTGGGGCCTCCCGGGGGGCCGTCGTCGCCATGGCTGGACCCACTTCGAAGAGTGCCAGGCAGAGCGCACCCCGGGAGAGAGGTCCGGGGACCAGCGCTACCGGTGCCTCCCTGCTCACCCAGAGGATCGGGTGTTGCCAGAAGTGCCCCCAGCTTTTCGCTCCATTTTGGAGCCCCTGGGGCCCTCTGGGCCTCGTGAGGGGTGTCCTGGAGGCCGTCTGGGGCACTCCGAGAATCCTGGGGCAGGGCAGCAGGAGGGAGGACGGGGAGGAGGAGGAGGAGGAGGAGGAGGAGGAGGAGGAGGAGGAGGGGAGGAGGAGGAGGATAGGAGGAGGAGGAGGAGGAGGAGAGGAGGAGGAGGGAGGAGGAGGGGAGGAGGAGGAGGAGGAGGAGGAGGAGGAGGAGGAGGAGGAGGGAGGAGGAGAGGAGGAGGAGGAGGAGGAGGAGGAGGAGGAGGAGAGGTGGGCGAAGGCCGTCGCGAAGCTTGCGGAAGGTCCTCGTGCTGCCGGTGCCTGGCGGATCCCGAGTCTGCGCGACCCGCTGGGCGTCTCAAGAGTGATGGGCGGGGCCATTGGGGCGTGTGGGCTGGTGCGTCAGCGGCTGGTGCCCGGGGGGCTTCGGGAGGACGGGGGGGAGGTGCGGGGAGCAGGAGAAGCGCCTCTGTGGGGGGCGGGGCGGGAGGAGGGGGGATCGTGCAAGGACTCGGAGGGAGATCCGAGTGTGGAAGGGGGAGGAGAATGAGGAGGAGGAGGAGGAGGAGGAGGAGGAGGAGGAGGAGGAGGACGGGGGATCCCCCGCCCGTCGTCCTCCCTTTACGCGTATCTCGAGCAAATCTGGTTTGATCCCCCCCCAAGGGCGACCGCCTCTAGGGGTTGGGGATGACTGCGTTCAGACGAACACCGAAGCCTACAAAGGTGAGCCTTCAGACGAACACCGAACACTGTGTTCAGACGAACACCGAGCCTGAGGTGTATGTGCAGTTCGGTGGAGGAGGCGGGGGGGTGGGGGAGGAGGATGAGGACGAGGAGGAGAAGGAGGAGGATGAGGAGAGACGAGAGAGAGAGAGAGGGAAACAAGTTACTGCTAGAATGGGAAGAGCTGCGCGGATGAATGCCGATACGTAAACAGCTGCGCCAGATACGCGTTTGCCTAATCAATTACGCACGTATGACCGTTTATTCAGGTTCATTGCGGCTTCGGCCGACGTGAAATGAAGCATGGGGTGCGCACGTGATAGCACGGGCACGGCACGGGTGTTTGCTATCTGTGTGTTTTCCCCGATGGTCATGGTTCCCCGGAGAAGGAGGAGACGGAGGAGTAGTGGCACTTTCGCGTGTTGGCTGATAGTATCTCGAGCATCGCAAAGAGATGCGTACGGTGTGCGTCCGATTACTGTCAAACGCGATCGAGCGAAACGACCTCCCTCAGTGCGCCGTCTCCTCTTCCTCCGTTGTATCAGGTGGCCGGGGGCTCCAGCCTCGGTCAGGTCCGACTCTTGCCCCGCGCTGATACGCGTGACAAGATGGAGGTCTGTCGGGTGTACTTTGAGACGCCACACCAGTATCTGCGTTTCAGGTCAGGTGCTTCGTTGTCTGGCACTGGGTGCGCTCACGTTGTGGGGTGTAGCATCGCCCCCCCCTCCCCCCATGGCCAACAGGTTCCAACAGGTTCATCGTTCCTCTCGCTTCCTCTCCCCCCCTCCCTTCCGTCATCTCTCTCCCTGCTCCTCGTCCTCCTCGTGGTCGAAGCTGCGCCTCATTTAACCATTGCTCACTCCCTGCATTTTACGCCCATCCTGCGAGGACTCTGACATCTGCGGTTGGCCGTTCGTCATCCAGATCTGGGAGCGCTCCACGCCGACGTATGCGCATCGCACCATCCAGTCTGTTGACATGCTCCACTTGTGTGCGCGACAATTCGGGCAGAGTCGTACGCTTACGTGATCATATGTGGCACATGTGTTTGCTAGGTGGCTGAGTGCAACATGCTGCCGTCGAGATAGTATGATCCGATCACACGCCGATCGCAAACCGAGAGCTGCCCTCATCCCCCTCCCCCACCCCGCCACAACATCCGAAGGATGGTCGTAAAGGGTGCTGATCTCATCATCGTCCTCGTCCTTCTCTTCCTCCTTCCGTGTGGATTTCCATTGATGGGACTGCCTTGTTGGAAGGCACCCGTTTGAAGACCCTTAAGCATGCCACAACATTGTTCTCGGGATTCCATCGCCGCGGATCAGCCTGCTTGTTGCGTCTTGACGATCCTGGAATGTGCCAGAACGCCATTTCTAGGATGTCAACAGAGAATCAACGTAGCTGCGTTGCCCGCATAATCCAGAATCCTTCCAAAGAGCCATTTCTGGTACGTTGATGACGGGAATCCGTGAAACGCCTGCGCCCTCAATCCGCGACGTTCTTGCAATTTTGTAAAACGAATGGGCGCCGCGCTCAGGCGAGAGCCACATTTTGAACACCACCCGCCCGCAATCCGTGAAACGCTTGTAATTTCTTAGACGAATGGGCGCCGCGCTAAGGCGAACGCCACGTTTGGAAAACGACCCGCCTACAACCCGTGAAACTCTTGCATTTTCTACAAATGTGCGCCGCGCTAGAGCGAGAACCACATTTTGAAAACGACCCGCTCTCCGTGAAACTTGTTGCACATTTTTTAAGACGGGTGTGCGCCGCGCTACATTTGAGAACCACCCGCCCTCAATCTGTGAAGCTCTTGCAAGTTTTTTACAACGAATGTGCGCCGCGCCGAGAGCCACGTTTTGAAATGGACCCACCCTCAATCCGCAAAAACCCTTGCATTTTTCAAACACTCATGTGCGCCGCGCTAAGGCGAGAGCCACACTTTGAACACGACCCGCCTTCGATCCGTGAAACTCGTGCATTTTTGTCAAACGAATTTGCGCCGCGCTCAGGCGAGAGCCACATTTTGAAATCGACCCACCCTCAATCCGCAAAGCCCTTGCCAATGTTTAAGCTTCAGATCTTCAGTGGCGAGGAAGTCTCAGGCGAAACTCCCGTTTTGTTTTAGGGACTTGTTACTGATAAGGAAAGGGAATGGAGGAGGAGGAGGAAGGGTGAGGAGGAGGAGGAAGAGGAAGAGGAGGAGGAGGAGGAGGAGGAGGAGGAGGAGGAGGAGAGGAGGAGGTGGGAGGAGGGGGAGGAGGAGGAGGAGGAGGAGGAGGAGGAGGGAGGAGGAGGAGAGGAGGAGGAGGAGGAGGAGGATAAGCAGGAGGAGGAGAGGAGGAACGAGGAGGAGGAGGAGGAGGAGGAGAGGAGGAGAGAGGAGGAGGAGGAGGAGGAGGAGGAGGAGGAGGAGGAGGATGGGGTGAGGAGGGGCGAGGATGGCGGACGAGGAGGAGCTCCTTCCTCGCACGCCCCCGCCGACCCCGCCGGCAGGACTGGCGCCGCAGGCCCTGCATCTGGCGCCGCGGCCAGCGGCGCCGTCTGCGTGGCGGGGGGGCGGTGAGGGTCCTCGTGAGGCTCGGGGGCGGCCAAGAGTCAGGAGGGGAAACAACACACAGACACAATTGTTGACGCTTCGCGTATCCCCACCAGCGTCCGTAGCCTCTGGCTCAAGGGGCTGGCCCGAGGCGTGCGCGCCTGCCGCAGGCTTTCTTTCTTCTCGCACGATCCCCACGGTGAGCCCTCGCGCGGCCGTGGGTCTCTGTGTCGCAAGCCCCGCTTCGGCGCGCACGGCTTGCCGGCGGCAGCAGCGGCGGGCGGCGGCCGCACGCCGAGCTGGCACCGCCGGCGCGGCTGCCGTGGCCGCCGCGGCGCCGCCGCCTGGCCTGCCGCTGCACTTGGCTGCCGCCTGCGCCGCCCCCGCCGCGGCGGCCGGCTGCTCGGCCGGTGGCCCGCCGCCGCGGCCGCCGCCCCCGCCCTGCCTGACAAGCGCGGACCGCGCGGCCCGCGATCGCCGCAGCCAAGAGGCTGCGGGCCCCTGGCTGTCAGCTGCTGCGCGGCCCGCCGCGGGCCGCCCTGTGATGCGGCTAGTTGCCGCCGGCGCTGCCGCCCCCCGCGGCCGCCGCGGCCCGCCGCCGGCCGCTGCCGCCGCCGCCACGGCCGCGGCGCGGCCGCCCGGCGCCTCTGCCGGCCGCGGGGCGCACGCCGGCGCCGCTGGCGGGCTCCTACGCCGGCGGAGCCGTCGGCTCGCGGGCGCCCGCGCCGCCTGTGGCTGCGCGGGCGCCGCGACGCCGCTGGCGCCGCGGACGGCGCTTGGCGACGGGGGCTCTCTCGGCGCTGGGCCGCGCCGCCGGCTAGGCCGCGGCTCCGCGGGCGCCGGCCGGGCGCCCGCGCGCCGCTGGGGCCTTGCTCCGCGGGGCGGCCGGCGGTTGCCCGACCCGCCCGGCGCCCTGCGGCCGCCAGCGCCGCGGCGGCCGCCGCCGCCGCCGCCGCGCGGCCCGTGGCGGAGGCGGCCGCCGCTGCGGCCGCGGGCCACGCGGCCGGCGCCGCGGCCGCCGTGGCCCGCGCTGCCGCGCTTGGGCCCGCCGCGGCTGGCGCCGCCGCGGCCGCGCCGCTGCAGCACCAACAGGCTCCCAGCGGGCAGACGCACCAGCAGGGCAGCAGCGGCAGCAACGGCAGCCGAAGCAGCTGCAGCAGCACCAGCCTCAGGGGGCCAGGAACTCAGAATTTCGAGGCGGCTCCAGCCGTGGTGACCAGGGTGACTGACGACTATCTGGAGGATTCTTTTCTCTGGGAGTGCAGCCTTCAGCTGCCCCCTGGGTCGTTACCGTGCAGCGCAGCCAGCATCTCAGGCAGATCCAGTCCCCAGCATGCCGATCAATCCCACTTCGGATTCGCCGATTAATCCCGTGTTTCCAGGCGACAGTACGAGTAACAATTCGGCCTTCAGCCGAGGAAGTAGCGGGGTCCCAAACAGATGCCTGGCAGTGCACGGTGAAAGGGCGACCTTCAGTCGCAACCCTGGTAATCCTGGCAGTCAAGACGGCGCGCTCCCCCCATGCGTGTTTGGCGCTCAGCTCCGGGCGATGGAAACTTCGGCGGCGCGGCGGCGCCGACAGGGGCGTGCTGCGAATCAGCGCCGCCTGGGCGCTGCTGCCGCGGCCGGCGGCCGCCCCCCTGGGCTCGCCAGCGCGGCCAACGCGGTTGGCGCTGCCAACGCGTCGGAGGTGTCCTCTCCCCTGGGCGCGTCCGCCGCCGTTTGCGCCGCCAACGCCGCTGGCGCCGCTGGCGATGGCTGCCCCGCCGCGGCCTCCGCCGCCAGCGCCTTCTGGGGGGCCGACGTGGCTACGGCGGCCCGCGCGCGCGCACCAGCCAGGGCCGCGGACGCAGCCGACGCCCTCGGGCGAGTTGGCGCCGTCCGTGTCCGGCGGCCCGCGCCCCGCGCCACCTTCGCCGCCGGCGCTGCTGACGCCCCAAGCGTCCGCGCAGTCGGCGCCAGTGCTACGCCCGACGCAGCCGCCGCCGCCGCCGCCGCGTGTGCCTGCGCCGCTGCCGCCGCAAAGGCCGCGCAGGCCCCCCTCTGGACGGCCGTCGCGGCCCTGGCCCGGGCTGCTGGGCGCGCGGCGGACGCCGTCGCGAGCGCGCTCCCTGGGCGCAGAACCGACCCGCTTGAAGACCAGCGTAATTCTGAGGTTGACGATTGCTGCAAATCTGGAGGTGGCGTTTCGCCTGAAGACAGTCGCCAACCAGCGGCCGTGAGCTGCATCAGTCGCCCGGGAGAGTTACAGACATAGCACGCGGTGGTCAGCCGCAGCGGGTCGGTTCTTCCTTCTGTCAGAGACAGGCAGACAGGCGTTTCTACAGCTCCTCATTCTTATCAGCGCCCCAGGCGCAGAGTCCTGGTGGAGGCCGAATATGCCCCCGACAGCGCGCCCATTCCTAGTAGCAGTGTCACGGTGACAGGTTGTGGCTCCGCGGAGGGCGCGCCTGCGGTCGGAGACCGGCGTCCTCCCGAGATCAGGTTCACGACGCCTTCCCGAGCGGTGGATGGAGGGTATCTCGAGCCTCCTCGCAGCATAGAGAGTCAGGAGTTCACATTGGAACGTGCGGCCTTCAGCTGCAGTAGTCCCCTGGGAGTGCTACGGACCGAACAGGTGGTCGTCAGCAACGGCGCGCCGGTGCCTTCCCCTCCAGGAAATGACCAAGCAGGAGTTCCTACAGCCCCTCTCTCCTATCAGCGTCCCGGGGGCGGTCTCGCCGTCGAGGCGGAAGATGCGGCCGAAATTGCGCCCCCCCCTGGCATCAGTATCGTGGCGACAGGTGGGGATGCCGCAGAGGGCGCGCCTGCGCTCGGAGACCGGCCTCCTCCCGAAGGGAGGTCCACGACGCCTCCCCGAGCGGATGATGGAGGATATCTCGAGCCTCCTCGCAGCATAGAGAGTCAGGAGTTCACGCTGGGACGTGCGGCCTTCAGCTGCAGTAGTCACCTGGGAGAGCTACAGACCGAACAGGTGGTCGTCGGCCATGCGCCGGTGCCTTCCCGTCCAGGAGACAACCAAGCAGGCGTTCCTACAACCCCTCACTCCTATCAGCGTCCCGGGGGCGGCCTCGTTGTTGAGGCGGAAGATGCGGCCGAAATTGCGCCCCCCTCTGGCGGCATAATCGCGGCGACAGTCGGGGATGCCGCAGAGGGCGCACCCGCGCTCGGAGACCGGCCTGCTCCCGGAAGGAGGTCCACGACGCCTCCCCGAGCGGATGATGGAGGATATCTCGAGCCTCCTCGCAGCATATAGAGTCAGGAGTTCACGCTGGAACGTGCGGCCTTCAGCTGCAGTAGTCCCCTGGGAGTGCTGCGGACCGAACAGGCGGTCGTCGGCCACAGCGCGCCGGTGCCTTCCCGTCCAGGAGACAACCAAGCAGGCGTTCCCACAGCCCCCAGCGTCCCGGGGGTGGTCTCGTTGTTGAGGCGGAAGATGCGGCCGAAATTGCGCCCCCCCTGGCAACAGTATCGTGGCGACAGGTGGGGGTGCTGCTGAGGGGGCGCCCGCGGTCGGAGACCAGCCTCCTCCCGAGAAGAGGTCCACGACGCCTCCCCGAGCGGATGGTGGAGGATATCTCGAGCCTCCTCGCAACATCGACGGTCAGGAGTGCACGCTGGGACGTGCGGCCTTCAGCTGCAGTAGTCCCCTGGGAGTGCTACGGCCCGAACAGGTGGTCGTCAGCCACAGCGCGCCGGTGCCTTCCCCTCCAAGACATGACCAGGCTGGCGTTCCTACAACCCCTCACTCCTATCAGCGTCCCGGGGGCGGTCTCGTTGTTGAGGCGGAAGATGCGGCAGAAATTGCGTGCCCCCCTGGCAACAGTATCGCGGCGACAGTCGGGAATGCCGCAGAGGGCGCGCCTGCGCTCGGAGACCGCCCTGCCCCCGAAAGGAGGTCCACGACGCCTCCCCGAGCGGATGATGGAGGATATCTCGAGCCTCCTCGCAGCATGGAGAGTCAGGAGTTCACGCTGGAACGTGCGGCCTTCAGCTGCAGCAGTCCCCTGGGAGAGCTACAGACCGAGCAGGCGGTCGTCAGCCACAGCGCGCCGGCGCCTTCCCGCCCAGGAGACAAACGCGCAGGCGCTCCTACAGCCCCTCAATCCTATCAGCGTCCCGGGGGCGGTCTCGTTGTTGAGGCGGGAGATGTGGCCGAAATTGCGCCCCCCCTTGGCAACAGCATCGTGGCGATAGTCGGGAATGCCGCAGCGGGCGCGCGGGCGCTCGGAGACCGGCCTCCTCCCGAATTGAGGTCCACGACGCCTCCCCGAGCGGATGATGGAGGATATCTCGAGCCTCCTCGCAGCAAAGAGAGTCAGGAGTTCACGCTGGAACGCGCGGCCTTCAGCTGCAGCAGCCCCCAGGGAGAGCTACAGACCGAACAGGCGGTCGTCAGCCACGGCGCGCCGGCGCCTTCCCCTCCAGGAGACAACCGAGCAGGCGCTCCTACAACCCCTCACTCCTATCAGCGACCCGGGGGCGGTCTCGTTGTTGAGGCGGAAGATGCGGCCGAAATTGCGTGCCCCCCTGGCAACAGTATCGTGGCGACAGTCGGGAATGCCGCAGAGGGCGCGCTTGCGCTAGGAGACCAGCCTCCTCCCGAGAGGAGGTCCACGACGCTTCCCCGAGCGGATGGTGGAGGATATCTCGAGCCTCTTCGCTGCATAGAGAGTCAGGAGTTCACGCTGGAACGTGCGGCCTTCAGCTGCAGTAGTCCCCTGGGATTGCAACAGACCGAACAGGCGGTCGTCAGCCACATCGCGCCGGTGCCTTCCCCTCCAGGAGACAACCAGGGAGGCGTTCCTACAACCCCTCACTCCTATGAGCGCCCCGGGGGTGGTCTCGTTGTTGAGGCGGAAGATGCGGCCGAAATTGCGTCCCCTCACTCCTGCCAGCGCCCGGGGAGCAGAGTCTCGGCGGACGCCGAATATGCGCCCGAAATGGCGCACTCTCCTGGCAACAGCATCGCGACGGCAGTTCGGAATGCTGCGGACGGCGCTGCGGAAATC